CGGAGAGGTGGGCGGCGCCGGGAGGGAGCCCCGCCGCCGCCCGCGCCGTCGCGCGCCTGTGACCTCAGCGGCCCGGGGGCCGGGAGCTGCGGGGGTGGGGCCAGGCCCCCGCGCGGCGTCTGACGTCCCGCGTGGCGGCGGCGCGCAGCGGCGTGCGGAGCGGGCGGCCGCGGCGGGGTAAGGCTGGCGGGGCCTGCGACCGCCTCGGGCTGCCCTGGAGCCCCCGGCGGGCCGCGAGATGGCGGCGGAGGGCGGGAGGCGTTAGACTGCGGGCGCCGCGGAGCCGGCGGGCGGGGAGGAGGTAGGGACGCGTCTCCCTCAGCCCGGCACCCCTTCCTTCGCTTGGCGGGGAGGCCGGGCCGCCCCGCAGCCCCTGCCCACTCCTCTTGAAATAAAGCGAAATCAACTCTCTGTTTAGGTGCGAAGAGAAAACAATGACAATCCAGTGGGTGGCAGTTGCAAGCTTCCTCTATGCTGAAATAGGACTCATTTTAATCTTCTGTCTGCCTTTTATTCCTCCTCAGAGGTAGGAAACCGCCAAACCCTTACCAGTACTGACCATGTGACTGGCTTCTGCAGGCTGCCAGCGTGACCTGGGAAAAGTCTGCTTAAGATTAAAGAGTTTTGAGAGCCACTTGTATAAAGGAGCTCTCCAATAGTAAACCCGCCTAACCAAGGACTATCTAGTGACAATATTAAAATATCGCTTTATAGGAAGTTGTATGACGCGCACAACGGAAACAGAAGTTCTGTTGATTACAGGTACAGTGGTTACGGTTTTGACATCTGTCCTGTCCTGTGGTCACCTTTTACCCTTGTTTTATTTCTGAATTGGAGCAGTGAAATAAATGTAAACATATAAAATTATTTTACAGTACAACATGGATGCAAAAATGTGAATTAGAGCATGTTATGGCAATTTAGAAACCAAAGCTAATAAACTACTCTTAGTTTGGGACCGTAGGTAACAAAAGAAACATTAATGACAATTTTACTACTTTTTATTTCTCTCAAGGTTAATGAATGTGTCTTAAAAGGGCTGAAAACGAAAAGTACCAGAATCATGTATTAGCATTACGTCTTTAGTAAAGTACTTCTTAAGGTCTTGAAGGAGTGAGTATTCCAGTCCAAGCACTGACTCACTTTACCTTTGTAATAATCTACTCATTAGGAGTTTAGTTTCAGATCTAGGAATTGATAGCATGAATGGTGAAACACATTTGTAACAGCAAAAAAAAAAAATGTTGCAAGTTATTTGTTTGTACTCATGGCATTAAAGAAAATCTTTCATAAGTGAGATCCTAGAGATAACCCACTAAAGCATAGTGCAGTAAAATCCTAGGACTGGAAGTTTTACCTTGGCCCAGGGTCCAGGTAGTCTTTCACAACTCTTAGCTTGCCCTTTACCTTGATTTCACCTACCTTCTGTTCTACCAACTGTACTATTGTTTTGTTTTGCTTTTCTTCCTTAAGAGGGAACACATTGAACTGACTGCAGGAGGGACAATCTTCAGTTACTTCATACAGTCCACTAATTCTCTGCAGATCACTTCTTGATGCACAGAAAGGGTACATACCCTAACTGAGGTCACCTAGCTGGTCCAAGTGATTTATGAATCAGTCTTTTTCTTCCTGCCATACTGTTGGTGGTTGGTTTGTTTGGGGTGCTGGGGTTTGAACTCAGGGCCTTCACCTTAAGCCACTCCACCAGCCCCTTTTTGTGATGGGTATTTTTTGAGATAGGGTTTTGCAAACTATTTGCCCAGGCTGGCTTTGGAACTGCAATCTTCCTGAGTAGCTAGGATTACAGGTGTGAGCCACTGGTGCCCACCTTGTTGGGGGTTTTTTGTTTGTTTGTTTTTGATTATTTTTAACCTATCCTGACCAAGTAACTATTGGATAAATGTATGTCTGTGTAAATGTGTGCATGATATATAAATACTCATGTGCATATGTACGTAAGAAAAGATATATATGCACAGAAATCATCTATACAATGTCTCTCTGTATTCACATCTTTTTACTTTTTTGTGGGACAGGGATTTGAACTCAGGACTTCATGCTTGCAAAACAGTCACTCTATTGCTTGGGCAACACCTCCAGTCTTTTTTGATCTGGTTATTTTGGAGATGGGGGTCCCTCAAACCATTTCCCCAGGCTGGATCTCAGCCTCCAAAGTAGCTAGGCATGAGCCACTGGCGCCCAGCTTCTTTTTACCTTTTATATGTGTGCCACCATAATCTTCAAAGAAAAGGTTATATGTTCATTTAGTTTCTCTAGTCTTTTGCCACATAAGTCAGTGCTTAAAAGCAACATACTACCAGAAATCCCTACCTGGACTTATATTCCAACTCTCTCTCCATGTTATTGTATGGCCTTGGGCAAGTTATCTCCCTCTGGTCAGTTTCCCTTTCTACAAAATGGAGGTAGTACTAGTATCTACCACATATGTTCTTGTGGTAACTAAATGAGATAAAGCATGTAAGAATGCTTAGGGCCAATACATTGGTAAAGATTCAATATGTATTAGCAGTTATTAGCTGCTTATGCATTGAGTCTTACTGTAAATTGCTAGTTTTCCCTATAGGAGGTTTCTTGCATTCCTCCTTTTATTGAACCTTAAGGAAGTAAGTGAATTTACATTTGGACCTACATCAAGGTATTACCACTTATGTTCTCTTTTTCAAAATAGAAAATTTTTGTTATATAGAATTCAAATAGTGTCTATATAAAAATGTTTAGAATTGAAATCATAGAGACAAAAGGAACTGCTTCATCTATATCTGTCCCCTTCTCCCCAGCAACTTTTGTTCTAATCTTAAAACTTTTTAATAGTTGCAAGTGCTTAAAGTGTATTTAAATGCTTATTACCTTTATTTGTCTCCTTTGGACGCAGTTAATGTATTATTCATTTCAAATGATATTTTACAAAGTTTAGCAGTTGTAAGATGGACACACTTTGTCCTTTATAACTTATCCTTCTGACCTCTGTGTCTTTGCTTATATTGTTCAATCCGTCTAGACTATTGTCCCATCTCATTTCCTCTGTGTTCAGATGTTGACCTCTGGATAGCGGGTAAATTACATGGGTATATACATATGTAAAAATTTACCAGCCTATATATTTTAAGATTTTTTTCTATTCATATATATATATATATATATATATATAGGTACATACATATATAATTTCTTTAATATTTTTTAAGCAGTCTCTTGGTTAAAGTAGAGAAAAATCTCTTACTTGGAGTAGATGTTAAGTGTACTATATAAAAATAAATGTGCAAAAGCCAGGCTTAATAGTGCATGCCTACAATCTCAGCACTCAAGAGGTTGAGGCAGAGGATTACAAATTCAAGGCTAGTCTGTGCTACATAGCCAGACCCTGTTTCAAATAAATAGATAATTGTGCAGAGTTAGACCTCCTACTGCTGAAATGTTGGTGATTGTTAGACCAAAAGACTTAGTCATGTTGTTACTCAGATATAAATACTTTTATTAACAATATTAACATTTTACTATAAGAATTCTTTTCAAAGGTTTTGTTCATGTATATGTACTTTAAAAGTAATTTTCTCAATTGTTTAAGAAAGAGTGCTATTATAGATGGGGTGAATTCGATCAAAGTACATTATATATGTGTCATAAAATGACACATATAAAATGACAATGAAACACCTTTGTAAAATTAATTTATGCTAATGAAACTTTTAAAGTTATTTTTACTTTAGAATATTTAAGCCACCAGACAAAAGATAATAAAACGTCAAGTATTATTAAATATGAAACTGTTCTCTGTTTTATGAGATATTTTGTCATGTCAGAATTAATAAATTTAAAACTTAAATTTCTCTAATTCTTTTTAGTTGCCACATTACTACCAAAGTATTACTTTAGTTCTAGAAGGCATTTTAAAGCCTACTTTTGATTATATTTTGTTATTGTTTGGGGTTTTTTAATACCTAATATAATTGTATCACTTTACAGATGGCAGAAGATTTTTTCATTTAATGTCTGGGGTAAGATTGCAGCTTTTTGGAACAAAGCTTTCCTTACCATTATAGTCCTATTGATTGTTCTGTTTCTAGGTAAGTAGTAGAGCCGTACTTTGAATAAGCATAACTCCAGTTCTTTTTTTAATGAATTCCTTGGTTTTTAATTAAGCTGATGTTGCTATTGATATAGTTGACTTTATGCAACCTATCAATATTATACGATGTAAATATTGATACTGTTTTACATAGTTGATACTGTTCTATATGCACAAATTTCAGGGAAGTGTGGTGATTCTTAACCTCTTAGGTTATTTGAAGGTTTATGGGTTTTTGTTTTTGTTTTTGTTTTGTGGTACTGGGGTTTGAACTCAGGTTCTTGTGCTTGCGAGGCAGGCGCTCCACCACTGGAGCCATACTCTTAGCCCTATATTAAAGTTTAAATGCACTAATGCATAGCCTGCTTTGCATTACCACATGTTCATTTCCCATGGTTACCAGGTGTACAATCCTTTGTACAGTAATGTTGTAGGTACCCAAGGACTTTGCTATGAAGAAACAAAGAATAGCATCATTAGTCTCTCAAGCAGAATCTTAGATTCAGGGTTTAGATCCTGGTTAAAAACAACAGCTACACAACAGATTTGGGAACCACTGCAAAAAAATTGAGTATGGAGTGATTGTTAGGTAATGTCAGGGATTTTTTTCTTAGCTTTTGTTGTGACAGCACTGTGTATAACAACCTACAGTCTATGGGCCAAATTTCTGTTTTTCTAAGTAAAGTTTTATTGGAGCATCACCATGCTTATTCACACATTGTCAATGCCTGTTTCCATAGACAACTCTAGAGATGAATAGTAGTTCCAGCTGTACGGCCTAAAACATCTGTCATCTACTCTCTTGTGTAAAAAAATTTGCCAATACCTTTTATACAGGAATATGTCTCTAATCTGAGGAAATGCATGCTGAGATGTTTAGGAGTATGAGGATTTTTGCAGGGAGGAGGAGTACAACACTAGGGTTTGAACTAAGGGCCTCATGGAACAGATGCTCTACCACTTGAACCATGTCCCCAGCACTTTTGCTTTAGTTTTTGGGCAGGATCTCTTGGTTTTTGCCCAGGGCTGACCTCAGATATCAGACTCCTGTGTAGCTGGAGGCACAGACATGTACCACCACTCCCAGCTTATTAATTGAGATGAGGTCTTCCTAATATTTTGCCCAGGCTGGTCTTAAATCACGATCCTTCACATCTCTGCCTCCTGAACAGTCATGGGTTACCATGCCTAGTCCCCAACATCATGATTTTTTCAACTTGAGTTTCAAGTGGTGTTAAAAAAGACAAAGCAAATACAGCAAACTGTTAACAATTTGAATCTAAGTGTAAGTATTATAGATATTTACTGGGACAGACTGAGCATCCCTAACTGAAAATTCTAAATTAAAGAAACTCCAAAATTGGAAACATTTTGAGCATTACCATGACCCCACAAGTGGAAAATTCCACACCTGACCTTATGTGACAGATTGCAATTAAAGCACAAGTACACTAAGAACATTGTATAAAATTAACTTCATATATATATATGTATATGTATATATATATGGTATGTATGAAATATAAATGAATTTCTGGTTTACATTTGAGTTCCATCTTTACAGTATCTCAGTACGTATATGCAGATATTCTACCATACAAAAACAAATGAAAAAAACTAAATCCAAACACTTCTGATCCAAGCTTTTTGCACCTGTACAAGTTTTTCAGCATCTTTGGAATTTTCATGGTAACAATAGTTTAGAAATTAAAAGTAGAGCTTTAAGGTTGTCAAAACAAATTCCGAGAGACTTCATAATCACCATGTTCTTTTAGAAGTACTGCTCAGAGAGATTAAGTGACTTGTCTAAGATAACGTAGCTACTTTTTGAAGTGTCACTCCTTGGCACTTTGACTTTTGATACACATTATAGACTACATTTTTCCTCAGAATCCCCTCACAGTTGTGTTACAGATTAAGTAGGTACATAATTTTGTGATAAAATGTTTCATGTTCCAAATCACCAGCTTCTGAAGTAGAATCAGTCATCTTTATGAAATTGAGAACATCTATTGTGAGAGGGTCTAGTATTGTTAAAAACAGGAAGGTAATTATACCAGGTCATGAATGGGTTTGTGCCTCATTTCAAAATGTCTCATGGTATATTATTGTTAATATTATTCATTGAATCTCTAACCACATAATAAAGTACAGTAAACTAGTTAGGAAATAAAACACATCCCTACCTGGCCACAAACTAAGTAACCTTTGGAATAGTGTCTCGGAATTTGATTTATTCATCTATGAAATTAAGGAAGAAATGGAAATAATCTCAGTAGCTCCAACTAGCTCTAGAAGAGTATTGTGAACTTCTTACTCTAAAATGATCACTAAAATTTCTACTGAAAGCTATCACTTATCCATAAGAAAGGAGACCTATCGTCCAGGTTCTTTTGATTACTATCAGAAGCCAACTTAACCTCGCTTGAGTAAGAAAGGGGAATATGAGATTGTTTCAGTGTAGCACAGGGAAGGAAGGAAACCAGATTCCAAAGAGGAACTAGTACTAGGAACTAAAGCGTCCTTTTTTGTATCCCTGCCTGTCTCTGTTTACTTCGTCTTACGTTTTATCCCTGAGGAAGAAAACATCATACAACTGCCGCAACCATGTGCAAAGATTAATTAACCATCTCTGAATCCCAATTCAAAGGAAATAATTGGAGTAGCTAGTACAAACCCCTTATCAGGTTAGCTATGGCCAGGGAGCCACAAGGCAGAATCATGACTGCTGGCTGGAACCTACATTGGCAGAGTGAATAATTCTACCCTGTTAACATCATGGATAGTTAAGCTAGGGAGATAGAATTTATCCCCCAAGGCTAAGGTATCTTCATCTCAAAATGGGATTAAAACACCAACTTACTTCATTAAGGAGTTTTAAGTTTTATACATAGTAATATAGTTCAATGCCCTAGTCCACTAAAGCAACCATGATATAAATAATACATAACCCAGTAGATTACTCAAGCTTGCTTCTATATTTTACTTTGGAATTTATTTCATTTTTAGTATTGATTATCTCTAATAAAGTAACTATCATAGGGGATTGGTATTCCTAGAGACAATACTAATGTATTTGTGTGTGTATATGTGTGTGTGTGTGTTTTAGGGTCATAATAGACAGGAAATAGGAAATCAAGAATATGTTTATGTGAACATGTTTAGTGTCAGCAAAAGTACATTCCAGAATTAGAAAGTTTCCATAAGTGCTCCCCCCCACAAAAAAAAAGATTATCTTCATATGATTTGTAGAAAACTGACTGTATGTTGCACTCATTCCCTTATTATTGGTCTCACTCCATCTTTTTAGACATAGTTTCTTTGTTATTGTACAAAGGAGATTCATTCTACATGTGGGTTTATATGACCGTGTATATTTGTAAACCTCTTTAATATTATTGGTTAATTTTTTTTTCTTTCATGGTTATTTGTAGTGGTTGACATACTCCTGTTATATTATTGAAGCAATCTGATGAGTGACAAAGAGAAAACTGCCATTAAGATAGGACAAGGGCTGGCAGAGTGGCTCAAGTAGTAGAGTGCCTGTCTAGCAAGCCTGAGGCCCTGAGTGCAAATCCCAGTACCATCAACAACACAACAACAAAAAGATAGTTTGTGAGACCCTCAAAAAATACTACACATAAAAAAGGGCTGGCAGAGTGACTCAAGTGGTAGACCGCTTGCCTATCATCTGCCTAGCAAGCGTGAGGCCCTGAGTTCAAATCCTAGTACCACCAAAAATATATATATAAAGGACAGTGCTGGAGGTATGGGTCAAGTGGTAGAGGGCCTACATAGCCCTAAGTTCAAACCCGGTGCCAAAGAAAAGACATGTTTAGAAAAACTTCTAAGGGAAACTGGGCATGGTGGCTCATGCCTATAATTCCAGCATATGGGAGGCTAAGTCAGGAAGATTAACCATTTGAGACCAACCTGGCCTACATAGTGAAGCCCTGTCTTAAAAACTAAGAGGCTATAAACTCTATGCAAATAAATTTGAAAACCTGGGCAAAATAGGTAATTTTATAGAAAAAAATATAATTTACCAAGTGAATCCCAACAGATACAGAAAATTAAAACAGGCCACTTTCCATACAAAGTTATGAGAAGGGACCTCTACTTCAGAAAAACACATAGCTTTGTAAGAAATTCTACCACTTCAAAAATAAATATTACCAATTGTGCTTAACTTGTCCCAGAAATTTAAAGGAATCTTCAAACAAGTTTTAGAAAAAAAAAAAGAGTCTGGAATTGAAACATTAAAAATAAACCAGAACAAATAAACCAAATAGTGTGTTAGATTGATAGCATGACCCAGACAAAAGAATTATTTCAAACAACTCATATTTTAAGAACAGAAGGAATTGGCTGGGGATGAGCTCAGTGGTAGAATGCTTGTCTAGCAAGCACAAGGCCCTGGGTTCAATCCACAGCTATATGGGAGTCCATAGGTAAAAGGATCACAATCCAAAGCCAGTCACAGGCAAAAAAACGTGAGAGCCTACCAGAAAAATAAAGCAAAAAATAGCTGGTGGCATAGCTGAAGTGGTAGAGTACCTGCCTAGAAAACATAAGACCCTGAATTCAAACTCCAGTATCCACAAAAAAAAAAAAAGATTATAACAAGTGTTGCTGAGGATGTGGAGAAATTGGAACCATCTTATAGGAATGTAAAATGGTACAGTTCTTTTGGAAAACAGTTTAACAGCTCCTCAAAAAAAGTTAAGCATAGAGTACCTGTATGGAACAGCAGTTCCATATATACTTGTAGGTGTATACCAAGAGGAAAGAAATGAAAACATGTCACCACAAAAACTTGTACGTGAATGTTTAACTTCATTCATAATAGCCAAAAAGTAGAAACAATGTAAATGTCCCTCGGCTGATGAAGGGATAAATCAAATGTGGTTTCTCTGAACAATGGAATATTATTCAACTATGAAAAGTAATGAAGTGCTGGTACATACTATCACACAGATGAACCTTTTAACATTGTGGTAAGTGAAGGAAGCAGACATAAAAGACCACATAATATGCCATTCTATTTATAGGAAATGTCCACAATAGGCAAACCCAAACAGAAAGTAAATTGATGGTTGCTGCCAGGAACCACCAATGCTGCAGGGGGTTGGGGGGGGGGAGGTGATGAAATTGTCCTGGAATTAGATAGTGGTGAAGGTTGCAGAACTTTGTGGATATACTAAAATTCACTGAATTACACACTTTAAAAAAGGATATCTTCATGAAATGTAAGCTATATCTCAATAAAGCTGCTATTCTAACTAGAATCTCCTTTTGTGGCAAAAACTGAGAAATACTGATGTTCACATGAAAGAAACAATCTAACTGCTTGTATCTCTACTGACTTTTGAAATATCTAAGACAGACACTTTGTCTAGGACATATAAGAATCCATTCATTAAGAATGAGTAAACATAAATGCTAATAAGATATCTGTTTTCCACTGGAAATAGTCCCCATGGATCTGAAACTTACCAGAGCTGAAAGCAACAAAGGAGCAGCTATTTGAATATTTCCAGTAGCAGGTGCCATCTGCTTGCCTGTCAGGGAAGTGTATGCCACCGTAGATCAAAGCCCATTTTAACAAATCTATGCTGATAGAAATTTCAGTGTAATGAAATATTTCTAAAATCTCAATTATTTAAAGTAATAGTGGATGAAATAAAATGTGAGAAATATAGTCTCTTGGAATTGATTGTGATGAGATAATATATTTATTACTGTCCATAGTTCAACTTTAGACATCCTTAGGGATAGAAAGAGTAAGAAATAATAGTATTTTACAGTACAGCAAGAGGTGACAACACAGTGATGGTAAATCCTAGATGAATGATTTAAAAAAAAAAGAATGCCACAGTAATAATCTGCCACTACTTTCCATTTACAGAAAGTTTGGTAAGTTATTCCAAAGTTATACCAAGGTAATATTTTCTCTTTGTAATAGATGCTGTGAGAGAAGTAAGGAAATATTCTTCAAATCATGTCATCGAGAAGAGCACAACCAACAGACCTGGGGCCTATGAACATACACAAATGAAACTTTTTAGATCTCAAAGAAATCTTTACATTTCTGGATTTTCATTATTTTTTTGGCTGTAAGTAAAAAAAAAAAAAAAAAA